AGGCTAAAGAGAGTCAAAGTAAGAGTTAAAGAAATAAAAAACAAAAGAAGCCAAGTAAATTAGTTAACTAGAAGGTGACTCTAGATCAGCCGTGGGCAAACTACGGCCCGCGGGCCGGATCCGGCCCGTTTGAAATGAATAAAACTAAAAAAAAAAAAAGACCGTACCCTTTTATGTAATGATGTTTACTTCGAATTTATATTAGTTCACACAAACACTCCATCCATGCTTTTGTTCCGGCCCTCCGGTCCAGTTTAAGAACCCATTGTGGCCCTCGAGTCAAAAAGTTTGCCCACCCCTGTTCTAGATAGACTTCATGGATACTAATTGAAGTGGAGATAGGGTCTTGGTAAGAAAGAGGATATGAAGCTTTAATATAAGTTTAAAGATTCTGGGTTTCGAAAGGAAGAATAATGATAATATAGCAGCTAGGAGGGAAAAGTAGTAAGAAGAAGGGTTGTTTTGCAATCAGCAATTAGATGTTTTAAAGTCTAATCAGTGTCTCCTAATCAAGTTCTGATGAAAGCTCTTCTGGTGACCAGTTCTATGAGCTTAGTCAACATGTCAAGCTCCCTTTGAGAGCTCATCCCTTAAAGGGGAAAAATATAGCACATATATATATATATTGAAAGCAGAGAATAATCTTACCTGTATTTTAGGAGAGATCTTCAATATAATAGTCCACTGAGGCATCAAAAATCATTTATTTGGGGACTGAAAATAGAATATTTTTGTAATTTCTAGCACAGTAACTATTCATGAGAGATAATCCAGTTAATGCTAGTTGACTGTTCTGCATGCAGCCTCAATTTTGTATTGAGTGAATCTTGCTTTGTAGCAGGTAGAATATGAAGCCCACCATCCCCCTTCAGCACCAACAAATTACAACAGATTGAGATTAGTATCTTTAAAATTAATGACAGTAGACCATTTTATTGTAAAGAAAGAATTACACTGTAGGTATTTTAGGAACTGTTCAAGTGCTTTAAATTCAGAACATTGTGTGTTCCCCTTAAATGGTAATGGTTGGAACACTTCTAAGTTTTTGTCATTTGTAAATCAATGAGATTCATGTGACAGAGATCTCAAAACTTTCATCCTACATCGTATAGGCTAAATGGCCACTTATTTGAGAACTTATGGGCAGCCATTCATATTTTGCAGGCAGAAGTTACAGAATGATTTTACTTGGGAAAACAAGAGAAAACTAAAGATTGCAGTAGACCTAACAAATTATTCAGCTTGCTTGATACTTTTTGCCAAGAGTTTTGTCATGAGGGCAGACCATAGTGCTTTATTCCACATTCCCAGCCAGCATTTGCAAACCACCAATCATTTCCTAAGGGACCTTAACAGACGGAAGCATTGAATTCTCTACAGTCAATGTTGCCTCCCACCTGGGAAAAAGACAGTCCTGTAATTGAATCTGAGCATATGCATTGTCATCCCTCCTGCCTGCCTCTCTGATGTGACAGCAAATTAAAAGACTTAAGGCTCAGCCTGTCTTCCAGCTGCCAGCCCCTGGTAGACATGAGGGAGCCAGAAGGGACCAGGTGGAGCAGTTTTGGGTTGCACTAAACACACAGCGCAAGGAGGTTGGCCGTAACTTCCCAATGAATATTTATACCAGCCCCAATTCTCAAGTTGCACTTTGGCACGGACCAGAGTGCTGAGCTCCTGCTGATTTCAAGGGCCCTGCATTGTTTGGACCTGCTCCGTGAAGTATTACGCCAGATGAGAAGTGGGGCCCAGGTTCCTATCACTAAGATGGCTGGTTGACTTTTTTTAAATGGAGACTATCATGTTATAGTGTCATAAGGATGGGGCAAGGGGGAGTTCCCTGACGTCTTCTGGCATTGCTGTTCATGAATTGCATGCAGCCTCAGCCTCAGCTTCCCGTGGAGTGGAACTTTAATTGTTTATATTAAGAGCCACACAATACTGTATGTTGTATATCACGGCATTTTCTTCATCTTTTTCTTGGAGGGTTTATTTTTGTTCGCTAAGGTCGGGCACTTATCACAGGGCTCTCTCATCACATTTCACATTCTGATCCCTCGTGGCAGGTGCTAACTTCCTTGCGCTCAAAGTGAATGGGTTGAGTAACCTCATAAAGATACAGAATGTCTTGGCATAGAAAAGAAGGGAGTAAAGAATGCCTGTCTATGGAAGACTCTTGGTGTTATTTAGTGAGCCCTGTAAACTGAGAAGATATTTGGAAAACCATCTACACACAAACCCATTAACTTTTTCTAGGTAGTAGATCATAGACTTATATTTATGTTCGTGATTCCCAATCCATATAGTTACCTAATAAAGCACACAACTTATCATGAGTTTTGTTTTTTAAGAAATTTTTATTTTATTTTTAATTTTTTAAATTAAAACATAATTGGCATACAATATTGTATTAGTTTCAGGTGTACAACATAGTGATTTGACATTTATATACCTTATGATGTGAACACCACAATAAGTCTATTTATTGATCATTCATCACAGTGCAAAGTTACTATTATATTATTGACTATATTCTCTCTGTTGTACACTACACCCCTGTGGCTTATTTATTTTATAAATAGAATTTTGTCTCTCTTATTCAACCCTTTACATTTTTTACTCCTCTTCCCCCACCCTGCATCCCTATGGCAAACATCAGTTCATTTTCTGCATCACTGATACTGTTTCTGTTTTGTTTTCTTCTTTTGATTGCATACATACTAGTAAGTGAAAGTGTATGGTATTTGTCTCTTTCTGTCTGACTTATTCCACTCAGGACAATACCTTCTAGGCCCATCTATGTTGTTGTTGCAGATGATAAAATTTCACACATTTTTATGGCTGAGTCATATTCCATTGTGTACTAGTATACGTACCACTTCTTTATCCATTAGTCTATGGTTGGACATCTAGCTTGCGTTCATTTCTTGCCTATTGTAAGTAATGCTGCAGTGAACTAGGGGTGCATTTATATGTTTGAATTGATGTGAGGTTTTTTGTGTGTTTTTGGTGTGTCTTTTTTTTTTTTAATTTTCATCAAGGTTATTTTTCCATTGATTTTTAGAGAGAATAGAAGAGAGAGGGAAAGACAGAGAGAAACATCAATGTGAAAGAAACACAGGGTCCGGGCCAGGGAGGAGCCTGCAACCCAGTACATGCCCTTGACCGGAATCCAACCTGGGACCCTTTGGTCCGCAGGCCGACCTTTGTCCATTGAGCCAAACCAGCTAGGGCTGAATTAGTGTTTTTGTTTTCTTCTGGTAAAAAGTCAGAAGTGGAATTTCTGGATTGTACAGTAGTCCTATTTTTAATTGCTTGATGAACCTTTCTACTGCCTTCCATTGTGGCTGCAGCAATTTTATGATCACACTAGCAGTGCACAAGGGTTCCCTTTTCTCCACATTCTCACAAACACTTGTTATTTGTTGACTTTTTGATGATAGCCATTCTGACATATCTCATTGTACTTTTGATTTGCATTTTCCTGATGATTAATAATGTTGAGCATCTTCTCATATGATGTTTAAGGCCATTGTTTCCATATTGAATTTTTGTCTGGATTTTCTATTTATTATTGTATGTGGGTGTTAAAGTCTCCTACTGTTATTGTAAAAATGTCAATTTCTCTCTTTATGTCTGTTAATATTTGTCTTGTTTATTTAGTCCTCCTATATTGGGTGCATAGATATTTATGAATATTATATCTTTTGACCCTTTGATTATTATGTAATGGTCTTCTTTTTGTCTCTTTTTACAGTCTTTGTTTTAACATCCAACTTGTCTGATATGAGTATTGCTATCCCAGCTTTCTTTTTTATTATTTTTTCATTTGTTTTTATGTGGAATATATTTTCTATACCTTCATTTTCAGTATGTGTCTATCTTTTGATCTGAAGTGAGTCTTGTGTATGCAGCATATGGGTGGGTCTTGCTTGCTTTTTTGTGTGTTTTTTTTTATCTTGTTTTGTTTTTATCCATTAATTTACCATATGTCTTTTGGTTGGAGCATTTTAGTCCATTTGTTTTTAAACTAATTACAGATAGGTATGGTCTTTTTGCCATTTTGTTAATTCATTTTTATTGTTATATAGTTTTCTTTGAATTCCTTTCTCTTTAATTTTTGTGTATCTTTTGTAGGTTTTGGTTTATAGTTACTATGAGGTATATTGATCTATATATTTTGCTGTATATTTTATGCTGATCAATATTTTAAGTTCAAACACATTCTAAAGCGCTACAGTTTGGCTCATTGTGTTTTAGAAATTTTTGTTTGTGAATTCCCTAACTACATCTTGTAGTTATAGTTGGTTTTGCTACTTTTATCTTTTAACCTTCATATTAGCTTTTTAAAAAAATATATATGTTTTTATTGATTTTTAGAGAGAAAGGAAGTGAGAGGAATAGAGAGATAGAAACATCAGTGAGAAAAAGAAACATCATCAATCAGCTGCCTCCTGCACGTCCCTTACTGGGGTTGAGCCCACAACCCAGGCACGTGCCCTGACCGGGAATCGAACTAGTGACCTCTTGGTTCATGGGTCGATTCTCAACCACTGAGCCACACCAGCCAGACCATATTAGCTTTTTAAGTGTCTGATTCACTGTTTATTGTATGTTTGCCCTTTTTAGTGATATTTTTTTCTTTCATATATTTTATTATTTCTGCTTATGGCCTTTTCTTTTCTGCCTGAAGAAGATACTTTAATATTTCTTGTAAAGTCAGTTTAATAGTGATGAACTCCTTCAGTGTTCACTTGTCTGGGTAGAGTATTCTAGGTTGTAGGTTTCTTTTTTTAGCACTTGAAATATATCCTGCCACTCCCTCGGGTCTGTAAAGTTTCTGCTGAGAAATCTGCTGATCTATGATTAGCTCTCATCATTGATGTTTCTCTCTCTCTCCCTCCTTCTCCCTTCTTTTCTGAAATCAATAGAAACATATTTTTTTAAGTAAATAATTGCTGAGATTTCAACTTTTGCTCTCTTGCTTCCTGCTCTAATAGGTCTATGGAAATGCAGGACCTAGCAAGTCCTCATCCTCTTGTTGGAGGTGGTGATGCCCCTGGTAGCTCTAAACTGGAGAAAGCGAATCTCAGTAGCACATCAGTCACCACAAATGGGACAGGAGGTAAGTGTACAACCTTAAAGACACCCAGAATCACATTTGAATGTTTGCTGCAATTTCATATGTTAGGGTCTGCTAATAAAGAAATATCTCATTAGCAAGAACACAATCAGCATAATATGCAAGGAATATATAGTTAATGGATTATTTATTGTTCATTTTCTTGAAATTTTTGTTCCTCCTCTAAAACTGGAAACATTCAGAAACATCCAGACAGCCCTGGGCAACATTGAAGGCCTTTAGTGAAGCTTCTTTTTTGCATTAGCCCTTGTAAATATTTTCTAAAATGTGGAAAATGTGGCCAAAAGGTTCTTACGAAAAAAGAAGATGAATAAGAAAAGAAATTGTATTATTTTATAATTTTATTTTGAATTATAAGAGAGAAAATCTACCAACATTTTTTTCTTAAAATGTGGTTTTCCTTAAAAGTAAATTTTGAAATAGGAAAAGTATATCTGCTGCAATTTTCTTTACAAAGAGAACAATACCTAACATGTATTTAAAAATAGGAATTTAATATTTTTTTCCAGGTATCTTCTCTTTTGATTAACACATAATTAACACACAGCATATGGCAACAATAACAGTTATTTCATATATCCTGCCATATTGTTTTTATAAAATGCATTCAACTTTCCAGAAAATATAATCTGATTTTTGCATCACAATATATAGACTACATCTCTATACATATAAGTTTCATTTTAAATCAATTATTTTCAAGTTTTATAGATCTAGTTATTTTATTCAGTAAGTGAGAAATTACATGAAATTTGTTTTAACTTATAAACTTCATATTATTAGATATCAGCATTTGCCACATCATATTTTCTTTAAAATTTTCAATAAATATTTATGAAATTGATACACCTCTTTTCACTTATTTGAGAAGAACTGCGCAACCTAAAATCTCCTTTGTAAAGTTTTGTGCATTGCAATTTGCCTGTATTTAATAATGTTTTATACCAAACCCTTTGTAAATTAACATTTTTCTTGTTTATAATGTTTATTTGTCTCTAAACATGCATCTATAGTTTTGGCTAATTAATTATAGGATTGCAAATTTATGAGATTGTTTAGTGATGACTTCTGGAGTAAAAACATTAATATTTAAACCTTAGCTTGGTCCAAATAATAATATTTTTAAAAAACTATGCATTCTGGAAGCAGACCTTGGAGTTCACTAATCATCATGTGTATATATTTAACGGAACTAAAACAGACCTGATCAACTAAAATGTAAAAGTCATACCATGGCAGTTATAATTTTTGGCGAAAAGGTCAGAAACCAGTGCAAGCATTGAAAACTATTCGTGTACACTGAGCAGGCACTCAGACAATGAACCCTTATACTGTTCCTGTTCTCAGGGGACAACATGACTGTTTTAAACACTGCGGACTGGTTGCTGAGTTGCAACACCCCCTCTTCCGCAACAAGTATGAGAGATGATGGTACACTGCATGTGCTTGGGTGTGTGGATTTGCCCTTCTGGTTTGCTTTCTGTTGCTATTTCTGTGTTTGCACCTTTTTTTCTGTGTCCAATACTTGTAAAGGAAAAGGAGAAATGATCATGCCTTTTAGTTGTTTATTGGTAACAGTTGGCTATATTTTTCATATCAACTAGTATTCTCATCTCAAATTCTTATTATCAGCAGTATTCTTAGATTTTTTTCATAATTTTACAAAAATGGTGCATCAATTGTTTTTCTAACTACATGTCAATTTATTAAGTGGATAATTGAACACCACATTCATGTCAATCAGAGAATTTGAAACATATTGCGTGTACATACACTCGTTTATCTTTATAACCTATACATTTTTATCATTTATATTGACTTTTTAGCATGGCAGAAGATATTTGCTATTTTAGAGACTTTATTAAATATTCCAATTAAAGTAACATTAACAATCAGTTAAAATCCCTTCATTTAAAAAACCATCAGTGATAAAAGCTATATATTTAAAATTGTAAATTAATATTGTCTTTGAAAATATTTTGAACTATAGACATTTACTACATTCATATATGTAATATATATTAAAGTATAAACAAACCTTTTTCCTAAATCGAAAGTTAATATACTATCAAAATTTAAAAATAAATATAATTCCATAGCACTATGATAGAACCACCCAACACAAGATTAAACAGAAGAACTCACTACCTATCACAAATGTGCATTACGAGCAAGCAGTTAGACTAGGCACAGACTTGCCATATCTCGATTATATTAGATTATATGACCAGTGAATGAAGAATACTCCATTATGCCCATTACTTATATATTTATAATTTTCACTTCAAAATTTTTTTTCAATTTCACTCTTAAAATATACTTTTCATAGTTAAAAATATATTGCCAGAATGAGTTTCTCTTCATGGTTCTTTATTCATAAAGAGCAAGATAGTAAATATTTTAGGCTTTGTAGGTCATACTGCCTCTGTCTCCACTACTTAGTAATGCCATCATAGCCCCAAAACAGCCATGGACAATATATAGATGAATTAGTGTGACTAGGTTCCAATAAAACTTTATTTATGGACTCTGAAATTTACTTTTATATTAATTTCATGTTACAAAATATTCCAAATTTGATCACTTTTAAAACATTTAAGATTTAAAATATTTCTAGCTCATTGGCTGATGTTCTGTTCTAAAGTAGTATTACTATAACACAGGCAACTTTACAATAGTAAGTAAATATATATATATATAAATATATATCAATATATATAAATATATATTATATATATATAAATATATATATATAATATTTAGTAATTCATGGCTAATCTTAACTGGAAACATTTTTCTGAGTGTTACACTTCAAGTTTTCTGGTTCTTATTGTTAATGTTAAGTGTCATTTGGCCATTTGGGAAGAACAAGGTCTTGTGTGTCAGAAGGATATGATTTGAATCTTGTCACTATACTTATGAGTGTGTCACCTTGGACAAGTTACTGAACCTTTCTGAGCTTTAATTCTTTTCTATAAAAGAAAATTAATAACACTTCCCTGGCAAGACTTTTTGTCCTAAATGAGATATGTATGTAAGTTGCTTGGTAATAAATGCCAGAATATTTCCTTCTTTCATTAATAATTTAATAATAATTGGCCAGAAAATTCTTTTTTAAAATATATTTTTATTGACTTCAAAGAGGAAGGGAGAGGAAGAGGAAGAGAGAGATAGAAACATCAATGATGAGAGAGAATCATTGATTGGCTGCCTCCTGCACTCCCCACACTGGGGATCAAGCCTGCAACTGGGGCATATGCCCTGACCGGGAATTGAACCAAGACCTTCTGGTTTATAGGTCGATGTTCAACCACTGAGCCATGCCAACTGGGCTGGCAACAAATTCTTAAGGAAAATAAAACATGCATTATGTTAAAATATCCTCCAATGTTTGGTCAGCTAATAAATTCTTCTGAATTTACAATATGTAAATTGACCACAGAAGGCAAATCTTTAGTGAGATTATACTTTGATTATTAATGACATAGTCTTGGTGGCATATTGATATGAAATTTTTAATGACGTTTAATGACTTTTTATGTTAGGTGTTTATAATACAAACTAAGCATTTGGTGCATAATCTCTCCCATTGACAGTAAATTATTTTATTTTTAATCCTGGGTTTTATTGTTGGTATTGGATCATTGCATAAAATTATTATAATAAAGAAGGAAAAAGCTAATTTCAGGTGTTTTCAAGAACTTTCCATTAATTTTGAGATTTTCAAAAAGATAAATTTAATTATATATTTTATATTAATATGAATGAGTTGACAGTATTACCTTAACCTACCATATTACATTGGTGCTATTTCAATATATTACACTATTACTTTAATTTAAAATGTTTTATCACCTTAATCCTAATTACATCTGCAGATTTATATTGGTACCTAGATTTTCCTTTCAAATGTCACTTATAAAATTGTTAAAATATAGAACTAGTAATAAAAATAGAATAAATGCAATCATACTTTAGCATATAGATCAGGGATCAGCAAACTTTCTGTAAAGGGTCAAATAGTAAATATTTTAGGCTTTGCAGACCATATGGTCTCTGTTGTAATTACTCAACTTAACTTTTGTTACACAAAAGCAGCCATAGATAATATGTAAGTGATTGAGCTTGGCTGTGTTCGAATAAAACTTGATAAATTTGAATTTCTTAAAATTTTCACATCACAAAAAAATTATTCTTTTGATATTTTCAACTATTTAAAAATGTAAAAGTCATTCTTAGCTCATGGACCATTTAAAAATAGACCACAGAGCAGATTTGTAACATGTGTTATAGTTTGCCCATCCCTGATATAGATATATATGCTATAGGTGTAGTCTACATACTTCATGTACATACACATTCATGCATGTAAATGCATGCCAAGTATATGAAAGTTACTTCCAGATACAGGAAAGATCCTAATTTACAAGATCCAGATTTATGATAAGCCATACATTGTATACAAAAATACTTAGATCTATTGGGAGTACTTAGGATAGGGTCTAAAAGTGAATTTTTACTTTCTCAAAACTAGTAAAATGTGGCAAGTTTCTATTATATGCCAGGCTCTGTGCTAGAAAATGGAAACCCAATGGGGCCTATAGAACACAATACTGGCCATCAAGGGACCAAAATCTAGCAGAGGAAAAGAGACAAGAAAATAATGAGTGAATAATGTGTTCAAGGTGGGTGCACAGTAGAGGGAGGGAATATTTTATTCTACATGGAGATTAAGAAAATACTTCAAAGCAATTTGGGGGAACCAAAATCAGACATTGTGATCAGATTTATGGCATTTTCTATAAAGGGGTGAGCAAAAGTGGGTTTACAATTGTGAGTTCGTGAAAGAGTTTATTTTTGTATTATAATTAATTAATTAATTATTGTATTATTTATTATTTATTATTATTATTATTATTATTATTATTATCATCATCATCATCAACCTACTTTTGCTTACCCGTGTATTTAGAATCTGCATA